TGAGTGATCCCAGCAGAGCCTGTAGTTTCTGTAGAAGAGCTCAGCACTGTGTGAATACTGGTGTAGCTGGCAAATTCATATTTGGAAGTGGAACAGAGCTGATTGTGGAAACAAGTGAGTTCTTTCTATTGTCCTAGGTATTTGTGTGTGTATTTTTTTTTTAAATCAATTGTAGAATCTAGGGGCTGATTATAATGTGGCAGAAGGGGGCAGGTGTAATTTGTCATAAAAATAAAATGTAAAAGTTTGTGCATACTGCACTATGCAGTCTACTGAGAGGTTCCAGCAGAGCTGAGTTTCTGTAGAGGAGCTCAGCACTGTGTGAATGCTGGCAGTGCAGCTAATAAACTCATATTTGGAAATGGAACAATGCTGATTGTGGAAACAAGTGAGTTGGGTTTTTTTAAACATTGAATTACAGAATCTAGGGGCTAATTATAGTGTGACAGAAGCAGGACAGGTGTAACTAATCATAAAAAAATCAAATTTGTACTGTACCGAGTGATCCCAGCAGTGCTGGGTTTCTGTAGAGGAGCTCAGCACTGTGTGAATGCTGGTAGTGCTGACAAACTCATATTTGGAAGTGGAACGAAGCTGATTGTGGAAACAAGTGAGTTGTTTCTATTGTGTTTTTGCATGTTTTTTTAAAGAATTGAATTACAGAATCTGGGGACTGATTGTGATGTGGCAGAGGGTGCAGGTCTAATTAGTCTTAAACATAAAATATTAACATTTCATATACGTTTACAACATTTACACACTCTACTGCATGGTTTCTGTAGGTTCTGTAGAGTTTCTGGGTTTCTGTAGAGGAGCTCAGCACTGTGTGAATGCTGGCAATGCTGACAAACTCATATTTGGAAGTGGAACGAAGCTGATTGTGGAAACAAGTGAGTTTTTTTTTAAAACAACACTGAATTACAGAATCTAGGAGCTAATTACTGTGTGACAGAAGCAGGACAGGTGTAACTAATCAGAAAAATAAAATTTGCACATTTTAACATGCTGTACTGTGTACTGTACTGAGTGATCCCAGCAGAGCCTGTAGTTTCTGTAGAAGAGCTCAGCACTGTGTGAATAC